TTGTATGTATGTATGTATGTATGTATGTATGTATGTATGTATGTATGTATGTATGTATGTATGTATGTACCATTCATTCAATGAATATCAGTTTGAAATAAGTTCCTTCCAGGTACGAAACTAAGGTTATCAACTAGCTCAGCGTTACAAATGTCTTCTTCACCAGCAAAATTTAATGAATACTCTTGGTCTTCGGCCATCGTAGCTTGATTAAAAATATAAAACAAACAGCGGTGATAATACTCTCATTTTAACCTCAGCAACAAAAAAGTCATATTGATACGACATAGTAATTTGAGAAATTGAGGTATAAGCAGTTTCCAAATAGTGTAAAAAAAAGAAATATTGCAAAACTAATGTAAATAAAAAGACAACCTAGTAAGTAAATTTATTACATCCACCTTGAAATCACTGTCCATCCTTGCAATCTGATCGGCTCTCAGCAGTGCAATTTATTCACGAATCGCACTATTTCTTGCTCTAAATCGCATCTTTTGTCCCAGCCAAAACAAAACAACCACTCAGATTTCAAAGCTTGTTTAAGTAACCAATCAGTTTGCAGGAAAGATATAAAATTGCAGGAAAGCCATTCTGTTATATTCACTAATGATAATAATTTTTACTCTGAATCACACCTTTTTCTGTTTTGCATACAAAATGAGATGTCAAAGTGTTTCTGGTGTCGCTTTTAACAAACCGGCTTCTGGACCAATGAGCTATTTAACAAATTGACGACAGTTTTCATGTGTCTGTCCTGTTGTTGATTGTGAATTTCGTCATAACATAGACTACTTTGCCTCATTGTCAATAACGGGACAGACGCGTGAAAAACTGACGTCAATTTGTTTGTTTTCTTTTTACAATAACAAATTGTCAAATTGCCCGCTCTCTAGATCTCTCGTCGCACCAACATCACATAAATTATTAAAGTGCGCAAAAATTTCTTCAAAGGCCGCAAAAAAGACACCGGCACTAACCAAAACCCTGTGTAACTACAGTAAAGGTAAAGGTAAAGTCTGCATACTAGCCAAGTGACCAATCGGGCCGGAGCTTAAGGTTACAGTATACCTTCAGGGGTGTCTCGCGTGCAAGCGATGTAGCGCGTGCAGTTTAAGCTGTAGATACCTAAACCCCTACATATAGAGCTGGCTATCAAACTATACCAAGAATTTTGAAATAAGATGAATTGTTGAGCGCCCGAATCACCTTTCGAAAGCTACAAGTCAAAGCGAATTTCGCTTTTTGCCAATTTAATTTTTTCTGAAATATTGCTGTTTTACTTACAGGGAGAACGATTATGTCGCAGTCAAATTTTATTTTGCCGCTCAGCCCGCTTTTTTACCGGATGTGACGTCACTTTTTGTTGGATGATCCAAGCACAAAAAAAGTGCAAGGCGTCGCAGAGTGTTCTCCCCCGCCCCTGGTTTTCACCGGTTTTGTTACAATATTCATTTCACTCTTTCGTTAACCTAATCGGCTAATTGGCAGTTTCCATGGTAAAAAATTGCGATAGTATTATTGAGACACCCGGCCTACAGTTTGCCGCAAGTATCGCCGCAAGTAGAGTTATGCAAATGGTCCCGCGATTTTTTTGGTCAGTGGAGAAAATTATAAGAAGCATGCGCGATGGTGCGTGGTGCTCTTTGTTGTCAGTGTGAAAAGTGCTTGCGAAGCAACTCTGTGAAAATATCTTAAACTGTAAAATCCTGTGCTGAGTCATCGACCTTTCGGTACAACATACATGCCGATCGCTGTGAAAGGTAATCGCAAATGCGTTTGTTGTTTTCATGCTAAAATGCAGACGGAAATATCGGAAACGAAACGGTTTGACAATAATGCTATGGCGGTTTCGAAATACATTTTACACTGTACTCTTCATCTCCTTAGGTTAAATATAGTAGTTTAAATAACCAGGCAATAGAGATGGAGGCATCCAAAAGCGCCAAAGCAACATTTTTATGAAACTCTCATGTATGAACTAAGAAACTAAGTAACTTACCTCATAATTTTAAAATAGCCTTAAAATTAATTTTCTCAACGGAAAGTTAAAAGCTTACTTTTAAAATTAGAGGTACCATTTCTAATCAGCCTCCCTGACATGGCTACGTAGCCATTATAAATAACATGGAAGCTTTCTTTGTTGTGCATGAATTTTAAAATTGTGAAATTTCGGTTTTTAATTATTTAACAATAAGTCTGGACTTGACACTGGCATGTAGTGCATCAATGATTTTTGATACAAGGTAGAAATTTTTAGTGTTTAAGAAAATTGAAAAAGGAAGTTTTATACTTGAATCTTTGTCTCATTTGCAATGGCCAGACTTTCAAGACTATTGCTTGCACAACGCATGGTCCCCTGGCGAGGTAATGCCCAGATGTTTTAACTCAATTTTTGCAGTGTTTCAAAGAATATCTTTCAAGTTTGGATTCAATGGTAATCTTGTATATCATTTGCTTTTTGGATGATTCTTCAGTGTTCAAGGTTGCTTTTCCAGTTATGCAAAATTGTTCTTATTTGTATGAAGGGTCGATTTACCTTCTTTGTTCATAGTCTTTCAGTTTCAGATGGACAGCTGTTGCCATATTCTTTAATCATGAAAACGAAAATAGTTTATTTGCAAACTCCCTCGTCCTGCTAATAGAATATTGGATTGAGCAGATAGTGAAAATGTTTGGTAGGGAGATCGGCAAACGTTTTGCTTTCTTGAATGTAAGAGACGAATTAGTAAACAGTGGACAAAATCGCAGATGGCAAACAGAGTGATGGTGGCTATGCTCTGCAGAAACCTGTGATGGTTTCAGCAACTCACTCCATCCAATAGATTTATGGAATTAAAGTAAAACATTTAAAAATATACATATATAAAAACAATGTGAAAGTAGAAATTACAGTTACTCAAATTTCAGGTGTGAAGCGATCATCAGACTGTTCCCTTAATGGCAGTTGAAACAAAATTTAAACTAACTCATGGTGGGCGTGTGGAGCAATCCTGTTTCTGATTGGCTGCATAGAACTTATTCTTGTGCCTGCATTTTGTTACAAGTTCAGATCTTTTGTTTAGAAACATAGATCTGTCAGTGGATATAATGCAGAGTTTTTGTATTTGTATCAAGCACTCCTACAGTCGTGTGTCAAACCACTTCTATTTTTATTTGTCTATAAAAACTATATATTACATCGGTAAGTAAAGAGAATGAGCGAACATTTGCTTTGTTTCTAGGTTTTAATTAGCCTCTTACAAAGACATTCTTTAATTTAGATGTTCAGCCTAAAGAAATGTCTGCGTGTTAGGCTATGTTCCTGTACAGTTGAAGCTCTCGTAAGTGACCAGTTTGGGAATTTTTGAAAAAAGTAGTCATATCTGGAACTGGTCGCTTACAGGAATGGGTTCTCATAAGCAACTGCATGATGAAACCATAGAGAATGGTTGCTGATGAGAACTTTTAGCATAAAGCTTTTGATCATAAGATCACCTTTAACTGTTAATTCAAGATCTTTATCAACAAAATTTGTTGATATAGATATTTAATATTTATATTTCACGATAAATGTGATCAAGTAGTAATACAATTTCAAATAGTAATTTGAGTCAGAATCTTTGATTAGTCGCTTATGAACCATTTGCTTCAAATGGTGCTTATTCAAAGGGAGTGCTTATTCGAAGGGGGCGCTTATTCGAGGGGGGTGATTATTCGAAGGGGGCACTTATTCAAAGGGGGCACTTATTTGAAGGAAGCTGTTATTTGAAGGGGGCACCTATTGGAGTGGGGGAGGGGGGTTGTGTCTTTTATGGGTATTCACTTTTGCTGTAAATGTGTCACCTGAGCACCCTACTGACCACCATTGCCGGATTAGCGAACTATAGGCAATTACATTAATTAAAGATAAAGAGATGGTGTGTCTCGCCTGGGGATTAGGCTGAGGGCAGGAGATAACTGAAATTTCAGGCTGTACAGTCAAATTCTATTTTGACATTGGTGGGTGGAGAGCCTCGTCTCTATGCAAAAAAAAAATGTATGCGTCACTTGATAATTCTTGTTTGTCACGCATCAGGTCTTGGTTGATAAGCAAGTTGTTTACCGATGGAGAAAAGAAACGCAGCACCCGAACAGGCACGAGGAAATAACGAAAGGCAGGGAGGGGTTCCCTATAACCGACTTGCCGAGGATATGGCTCAACCTTTGGCTGATCTTCAAGTACCGGGAGTTAATAATGGAAGTGGGACGAGCGACGATAGACGAACTGAAAATGAAACCGAAAGTCTTCCGGGGCCTCGGGAGCCTCCGCAAGGACGCCACAGAGGACAAAGAAGAACTGCTTATCAGCAGCTTGCAGCAGACATGGCTGTTCCTCTAGCTGAACTAAAAGTGCCTGGAGCGAGAAATGATGGCGAGACAAACAGCGATGGACAAGTCAAAAGTAAAGTGGAAAATCGTCGTGATGTTGCTTCAGTTGATCAACAAGAAACGAAAAGGCGTGGACGAAATCATTATCTTGCACTCGCAGCGGATATGGCCGGTCCTTTAGCGGAGGTCCGTGCACCTGCAATCAGCGATGAAAGGGGCTCAGAGTGGTTGCAAACTGACCGCCAAGCGACCGAGTCTTCTCCGCACCAAGAGTCGCTCTCAGAGTACAATCCAGATGCAAGTTGTGGCTCAGGTTATGATTCAGAGAGCTGCCGACATTCAAGCTCACTGTTAGATGCGCGCAGTGAAAGAGAAACCGAAGCTTGTCAAGGCAAAGATACTGAGTCTGTAGCCGCGCAAGAGTCTCTGTCAGAATACAACGAAAATGCTTCTTGCGGCTCGGGCTTTTACCGTTCTGAATACAGCATCTCTGATTACCAATCAAGCGTCCAGACTTCGGAGCATGAAAGTGTTAACCAAGGAAGTTTTGCCGCTGATTGTGGTGGCTTCCGTTCGAAGTCTCCATCTGAAATTGACACAGTTCAGGAAGATTGCCATTCACAAGTGGATGGAGAACCTTTCTCGAAACGAACCAAGCTAAACGCAGAAGTGACTGAAGAACTTTCACTTCCGCGTTCGGAGCCGTCTTACACAGAGTCTACGACTACTACTGATGTCCAATTTGAATCTGCCCCGGAGTTATGTCCTGCTGAATCCAAGCTAAACGAGTCCCTTCCGGTACAGGACGAGGAAAAGATAAGTACGCAAAGTATCCAAGAGCGAGCAAGAAACGTTGTTTCGCCAATTGAACCGCGTTTGACTTCGGAATTCGAGCACATGAATCTGGCAGGCAACTACAACAGCGTTGAAACTGGAGCAAGTTTTGATTCTTCTGCAGAACGTTCTGCCCCTGTCTCCCACTCCGATCACGAGATGTATGAGTACGAAAGTAATCTAGAGTCACTCACAAAAGATGAAGATGGGTATGCTGCTGGAAAGTCCACAGATTCCTCTGTTGTCGGAATTGATTTCTCTTCATACTCGACAAATGCTCACAGTGCAAATGTGTCAACAAGTTTTCTTTCTCAAGGCGCAAGACCGAAGACAAGGCCTAATGTACCCAAAGGAAAGACACACAAACCCCCCAAACGGAACACCAAGAATGCTTATACTGAGCTCGCTAAGGTAGTGGCTGGCGACTTGTCTGCCATGAATAGTCAAATAGATAATTCGCACGCTAAAACTCGCCGAGCAGAGGACGAGAAAAAGAGTGTGAGACGACAAGAGTTGTTTGATGGCAGCACTGTAGAAACAGCGACATCAGACGATGCTCCCCAACAGCCAAGCCTGGTAAACGAAAATGGAACCAGAAGAAATGAAGTCCAAGGTCAAGGGGAAAATTTTTCAAGTGAAATCTTGGGGTCTAGAGCTACTTCGCGAAGAAAACGTGACACGAAGGCCGCCGCAGAGCACAGGTTACAAGTGGAAGAACAGCAGCGTTTGACTGATAACATGGCGCCCGAGCT